CCCGGCTCTCCCCGTGTCCCCCCCTGCTCTCTCTGTGTCTGCTCTCACCCCTGCCCCCTCTCCTCCCCCAGGAGGCAGCAGTACGTGGGGAAGCTCAAGTTCGCCTCCTTGGAGGCCTCGCAGGGTTCCAAGAAGCTCATCGTGGCCACCGAGAAGAACGTGGTGGCCGCCCTGAACTCCCGGAGCGGTGAAATCCGTGAGTGAGGCGGGACATTGTGGCGGGGGCTGTGCCTGGTGTGTTGGGGTTAAAGTTTTGTTTTCTTCTTTTTGTTTTAGTGCTGCTGGTGGTGATTTGTGACGCTGAGGGGATTCAGGCAGCAGTTCAACAGCTGCTGATTAGGGCAGGCAGAGCATTCCCTGCATGAGCTTCTTGCCATAAAGAGCCTCGGTTTAAAGCCTTCGGGGGGATAAATCTCTTTCTCACTTAACTGTTTCATAGAATTCCAGACTGGGTTGGGTTGGAAGGACCTTAAAGATCATCCAGTCCCAACCCCCCTGCATGGGCAGGGACACCTCCCACCAGACCAGGTTGCCCCAAGCCCCATCCAACCTGCCCTTCAACACTGCCAGGGATGGGGCAGCCACAGCTTCCCTGGGCAGCCTGTCCCAGGGTCTCAGCCCCTCCCAGTGAAGCCCTCTTTGCTGGTTGTTTCCCCCAGTTTGGCGCCACGTGGACAAGGGAACCCCCGAGGGAGCAATCGACGCGATGCTGATCCACGGACAGGGTGAGCAGCTCCTGTGGGGGTACAGAGGGGCTGGGGCTTGTCCTTCGGCCACAAATTGAACTGGTCAGAACTCATTGATCCGTGGTGGATATAAGTTCTCTGTTCATCTCCTTCTCCTCGTTCCTGGGCAGATGCCATCACTGTGTCCCATGCTGGACGGATCCTGCGTTCCTGGGAGACCAACATTGGAGGGTTGAACTGGGAGACCTCCCTGGACACGGGCAGGTGGGCTCTGGTGTTTGCACTCAGTCTTCCCTGTTGTAATCCTAGTCTAGGGAGGAGGAAAAGGGGTTATTGGCCGTGTCTGGGTTGGCATTAGAGGGAAAGATGAGTTAGATGTGAAGTTTTTGAAGTAACGTCTGGCTGAATTCCTTAGGAATGCCTGAATCTTGCAGTGAATGCTTCTGTTTCTTAGCAAACTAGTAAGAGGAAGAGACACAAATTGTTTTCACTGATGAATTTTCTCTTTAAATACACAACATGTTGAAACACACATCTGGTTTGGGGTGTTTGGATCCTGATGCTCCCTGTTGAGATCAGCAAGGGTGGGTAAAGTGGGAGGTCAGTTGCACTTGGAGACTGTTTGAAGGTTTTCAGAGTGTTTTTTTTAATCAATTTTTTTTCCTCTTAAAAAATAACTTCCTAATTTATTTCCTTAGTTTCCAGATGGCTGGGTTGGTGGGGCTGCAGGATGCAGTGAAGTATGTGGCAGTGCTGAAGAAGGCAGCCATCTCTCTTCACTACCTTTCCAATGGACACCAGAAATGGGTGGAACACTTACCAGAAAGGTCAGGATATATTTTAAGTAGAAGCAGAAACTCCTGACAGGGATCCTGAGGCCCTGGGGAGGAAAGGATGCTGTCCTTGCCTTATTCCTTTGAAAACATCCAAAAACAGTCATGTGAGAAGATGATGTTTCATGGTTACTGCCTTTCTTGCAGTGAGAGTACCCAGTATCAGCTGTTGTATTCCCATGGGACTGGAGTGATCCATGTGCTTGGAATTGTTCCCCAGAGCCACTTCAATATTTTAACATTCAACGTAGAAGATGGAGAAATTACAAAGCAGGTGGGACTTGATTATGGATCCAAATTGTTGAATTTTATGTTAACAAAATGTGGTTCCCGCTGGATGGGCTGTAGTGTGCAGAATAATTCATAGTAGCATGGAATGGTCTGGGTTGGAAGGGACCTTAATGATCACCTAGATCTAAACCCCCTGGGACACCTCCCACCAGCCCAGGTTGCTCCAAGCCCCATCCAACCTGCCCTTCAACACTGCCAGGGATGGGGCAGCCACAACTTCCCTGGGCAGCCTGGGCCAGGGTCTCACCACCCTCAGAGGGAAGAATTTCCTCCTCATGTCCAACCTCAATCTCCCTCTTCCAGTTTTAATCCTATCCCCCCTCACCCCATCCCTCCCTGCCCTTGTCCCAAGTCCCTCCCCAGCTTTCCTGGAGCCCCTTCAGGCACTGGAAGGTGCTCTAAGGTCTCCCTGGAGCCTTCTCTTCTCCAGGCTGAACACCCCAACTCTCCCAGCCCGTCCTGAGCTTCCCTGAGCAACCCAGTCCTGTGTCAAGAGTAAAAACAATTCTGACTGAAGTTCTTGGTTGTGTCCAAATTGGTTCTTTGAATGTTTTGTGCTGTTGACAACTTCCATCTCCTCATTTCTTGTCTCTCTGGGCAGCTCAGAGTTGCAGCCCCATGGTTGAAGAGCTTGAGTGGCATGTGCAGTGTGGTGGGGGAGGCAGTGCTCGTCTGCCTGGACATGGACACACAGTCCCTATATGTCTGCTCTTTGGAAATGGAGCAGGAGATGAAGCAGATCCCACTGCAGGTGAGAAGTGTTGGAAGAGCTTTGAATGTGATTGCTCATCCTGCTGGTTTGGTGCCAGGGTAGGGGGTTCCATCTCCAGTGATGGAAGGGGTGCGGAGGGGAGTGTGGTCCATAAATTGAGGAAGAAGAGAGAAAAGTATGGATTGTGTCTGTCTGGTCATTCCTTCTGGATTGATGTCTCCAGTGTTTGCTCCAATGGGACTCTAGTTCTCCTTGCTTCTGTGTGGTTAAGCTGAGATGGGGAACCTCTACACACCTTCTGTTGCTGCAAAATGTTGTAGTTTCAGTGAAGGAAAGTTACAGAATCATGGAATGGTTTGGGTTGGGAAGGACCTTAAAGATCATCTAGATCAAACCCCCTGCATGGGCAGGGACACCTCCCACCAGACCAGTTTGCTCCAAGCCCCATCCAACCTGCCCTTCAACACTGCCAGGGATGGGGCAGCCACAGCTTCCCTGGGAAACCTGGGACAGGGTCTCACCACCCTCACAGGAAAGGATTTCCTCCTCATGTCCACCCTAAATCTTCTTGCTTGCAGTTTTAATCCCTTCCCCCTCATTCCATCCCTCCCTGCCCTTGTCCCAAGTCCCTCCCCAGCTTTCCTGGAGCTCCTTCAGGCACTGGAAGGTGCTCTAAGGTCTCCCTGGAGCCTTCTCTTCTCCAGGCTGAATACCCCAACTCTCCCAGCCTGTTTCCAGAGCAGAGCTGCTCCAGCCCTCCCATCATCTCTGTGGCCTCCTCTGGACTCTCTCCAGGAGCTCCATGTCCTTCTGATGTTGGGTTCTCTAGAACTGTGCTCCAGCTGCCTCTTACAAGAGCCTGTTCTGACTACACATGCTTGTCTCCCTCCCACAGTCACTTGACCTGGAGTTTACTGATGACTTCCAGCCCAGGATATTGGCCACTCAGCCCAGTGCAGTTGGTGCTTCCCGGGCTCAGTTTTTCCTGCAACTTTCTGCAAGCCACTTCTCCCTGTTTCAGTACAAGCATGGGTTGCTCAGCCACCTCCGGGACTTCCAGCAGGTAACCAAGGGCAAGATGCTCAAGCAAGAGGCCCCAACTACACCTTAACATTCTTCTGAAAAGCAAACAAGCTTTAAAAACCTCCGGAACGCTGGACATAATGGTTCAACAGCCTGTGGCACATCAGATGTTTCCATCTTTGAAAATTAGCTACAGCCTTATTATTTCTATGTTAATTTGATGAAACGATGACATTTAAAATTTGGTGATGCAAGATCATCAGTTCTTCATCCCAGCCTGCCTTAATTTGCTGCACAGGTAGTTTTTGGTAAGGTTTGGGGCTGTTCTTGTTTGTTGATGGTTTCCTGCTATATTTATTTTTTCCCTTTTCAGGCAGCTCTGGTGAGTTTTGCAACAACTGGGGAGAAAACTGTGGCAGCTGTTCTGACCTGCAGGAGTGAACTGGTGAGGACAGTTTTCCTGTGATGTGTGACCAGCAGGGCTCTGGTTTGGATCTACACTGGGGTGGCTTCCATCGGGGTTTTCCTTCACAATCCCAAGGTTGGGTAGTGACTTTGGGAATATTTAACTGGCTTCTCAGACAGGTGGAGGCAATGCTGATGCACACAGGTTCGGATGGCATACAGCTAAAGCTGGCTGTGGCCCAGTGAAGGCTCCTGTCCTGTGCGTCAGCCTTGATAGAGCCTGGGAATCAGTTTTACTGGTCTGGGGAGGATTTCAGATCTTAAGGGTACAGAACTGAGCAAGGTCTCTTATCAGGGATAGATTAGGATAGAACAGACCTTCCTTATTGTTCTCAGAGTCAAGCTGAGACTTGTCAGGCATTCAAAACCCTGATTTTTTTTTTTATACTTTTGTGGGGTCTGAAGCCATGTTGTCCCTTCTCATCCTCATTTCAGAAACCTGGGAGCTCTGATGCTGGCAGTGCCCTGGAGACTGCTCGGAAGCAGGTATGAAGTGTGTTTGTTCCCCAAGAGCAGCAGAAGTTCCTCACATTTCTTTGCATGTGGGGGACAGAATCAAAAAGGTGTCCTCTTTCTGGAGACTGATCTTTTGTGGCACCTCCATATATATAATCTAAAAACATCCTGAAGGATATTTCATGCTGGGCAGGAAATCCTGCAGAATTTGGGGTGCCATGTGTGTTTAACTTGGATTTTTTTTTTCTGCATGTTGTTACAGGAATCCTTGACCTGTTCCAATCAAACCTACAATATTAATCTCTACCTTGTTGAAACTGGACAGAGATTGTTGGATACCACCATTACCTTCACCCTGGAGCAGAGTGGTGCCAAACCACAGCAGGTGAGCAGGGAGAGATTATCTCAGCCCTGTGGTTCATCAGACTTGCAGTGTCATCCCTGCCCTGGTTTGTCAGGGTTGGTGGAGCCCTTCAGACAAGGTGCAAAACATCCTGCAGACACAGGTTACTGTCAGCAATCACTCTGCTTGCTCTTTGTTGCACCTAAGAGTCCTGTTCTCTCCTCACAGTTTTCCTTGCTCTTTTTTTCCAGCTATACATCCAAGTTTTCCTGAAGAAGGATGACTCTGTGGGCTATCGAGCCTTGGTGCAGACAGAAGACCATATGTTGATGTTCCTCCAGCAGCCAGGTGTCAGCTAACCTTCCATTTTTAACAGTGCACACCTTGTCACTGTAGGACAAGAAGAAAATTCCAAGTCCCAAATGATTATATTTTATCATTCCTTTCATTGGAAACTGGCAAAATTCATTTTAACTGTCTCCTGAAAGAGACTGGAGACTCCTCCAGCCTCACCAAACATTCCATCAGATAAAACTGCTCTGCAATGTTCTCTGTGCAGGCAGAGCCTTTGGGTTTCCTGAGATTTCTGCAGGTTTCAAAATGCTTTTTGTAGGAGTTGAGCCTTAACTCTTGTTGTGCATCTTCCTCAAAGTTTCTTTAGGAAAGATCCTCTTGGCCAAAATGTTAATTTGGAGGAAAGGGTTGAAAGTCCATCTCAGTGCCATCAATTTTTCCACTTCTATTTCTTTTCAGGAAAAGTTGTGTGGAGTAGAGAGGAGTCCCTGGCAGAAGTGGTAAGCTTGGAGATGGTGGATCTACCTCTGACAGGTGCACAGGCTGAACTGGAAGGAGAATTTGGAAAGAAAGCAGGTAAAGCCATAGTTGGAATTACATTTGTGAGTTGTTTTTTCCTCCTGAACTAATGTATTTATTGTTTTCTTTTTCCTCTAAGTTGAGAGTTAGGATTCAGATTTCTACAGTTTAAAAGCTGTGGAGATGTGATGCTGGTTTAGCAGTGGACTTGGTAATTAAGTTAATGGTTGTACTTAATTATCTTAAAGGTCTTTTCCAACCAGAACAATTCTGTGACCCTGTGAAAATGAGCAGAATAAACCCAGTTCTGCATAAACTTTTGAAGCCAAATCCAGATGACAGGAGTGTTATATTAAAATATTGTTTCATTAAAAACCCAGCAGCAGTAGGAGCAATGTTGTCCATCTCCCCTAAACGTTTCCTTTTCACCCTTTCTGGAAGATTCATTTGCAATAGCTTTTTCTCTTTTGCCTTTTTTTTGTGCTTTCTTGCTGTCCTGGACTCAGCCATTCAAGGTAACCCCTCTGCATGTCCCCTTTGCTCACCCTTCTGACTTGTGCTGCCCCGTGGAACCTGACCTCCTCTCTGCTTGCTTTTCCAAGAGCTGAAATAGAGTTGAAGTTTGGTGTTTTGCTTGTTTCAAGAAGCTAAATATAAACCCTGATTGGGCAGAATTAAGTGGGTTTTTTTACTTCAAGGGATTCTGTAGCTCTGTGATGAGTGGAGTGGAGTGGGGGTGTTCAGCCTGGAGAAGAGAAGGCTCCAGGGAGACCTTAGAGCACCTTCCAGTGCCTGAAGGGGCTCCGGGAAAGCTGGGGAGGGACTTTTGGACAAGGGCAGGGAGGGATGGGATGAGGGGGATGGGATTAAAACTGGAAGAGGGAGATGGAGGTTGGACATGAGGAGGAAATTCTTTGCTGTGAGGGTGGTGAGACCCTGTCCCAGGTTGCCCAGGGAAGCTGTGGCTGCCCCATCCCTGGCAGTGTTGAAGGGCAGGTTGGATGGGGCTTGGAGCAACCTGGGCTGGTGGGAGGTGTCCCTGCCCATGCAGGGGGTTGGGACTGGATGATAAGGTCTCTTCCAACCCAGTCCATTCCATTATATGATACAGACCATATGGGTGGGTAAACTTTAAGTAGGCACTGGCTCTGAGTGCACTAGTGAGAAAGGAGGAATAAAAAGGAGGAGAGGATGGACCCTGCAGGAAGATTTGCTTCCAGCTGATGAGAGCAGCTTTTGGGATGAGCTGTACTAGTGCCCAGTGGGGAAAGGCTAGAAAATTCCAGAGTCTGTCAGAGAAACAATAACTGTAACTCTGCTGTTGTGGAGTGGGAGGCAAAGCATGATCATGCATGGCAGCATTTCTTCTGCTGGCTGAGGCCATCATTTCAGTTCTGGAGTGGGACATTTTTCCCTCATCCTCACTGCTGCTCCTTTTGCAGATGGTTTGCTGGGGATGTTCCTGAAACGACTGTCCTCCCAGCTTATCCTGCTGCAGGCCTGGACTGCCCATCTCTGGAAGATGTTCTATGATGCCAGGAAACCCCGGAGCCAAATTAAAAATGAGATTAACATTGATAATTTGGCCAGAGATGAGTTCAACCTCCAGAAAATGATGGTGATGGTCACTGCTTCGGGAAAGGTGAGGAAGCCAGGATAGAAACTTGGTTTTAGGTGGCAGCAAAGAGTCTCAGCTCTGAATTCTTGCCCTTATTTTTAGCCAGGCTTTGGGCAGAATGTCATGGTAGCTTTGGAGGGGGGTTGATGCCCTTCTACCTTTGTCATATCCCAAAGAAAGATGAGATGTGTTGTTCTAAGCTTTGGCTTTTCTGTGTCTCTCTGCTCAGCTTTTTGGTATTGAAAGCAGTTCTGGCACCATCCTGTGGAAACAGTATCTCAGGAATGTGAGACCAGGCTCCTCCTTTAAGCTGATGGTCCAAAGAACAACAGCCCATTTCCCACACCCTCCCCAGTGCACCTTGCTTGTTAAGGACAAGGTGAGTCCCTTCCCTCTATCCCACTGAATATGCTTAGTATGGAAATCTTGGAAATCTGGCCTTTGAAAGGGCAGAAGAATATGTCTTTTTGGGTATTTTCTGGTTATCACTGATGTGGAGATGGGAGGAGAGTGAGAGCTGGAGGGAAGGAGACACACAATCCTAAAAAAAATATGAGGGATGCTTGTTTTGAAATCTTTTATTGAAATCAAGAAAATAATTTCATCCATTTTCTTTAGTTGTGTGAGATAAATCATGTGTGGTCTCTTATTAACAAGGTGACAAGGATGTGTGGTCTCCTCTAGCTGGCTGCAGGATGGTTTTGCTCCATACGTGAGAGAAGAGGAGGTGTTCTTTTGTGTGGAGACTGCCTGAGCTGGTGGCAGAGAAGATTTAATTAAAGCCATGAAGACCTTGTTAAGTCACTAGATGGTTTTGGTAGAGAAATGCATGATAAGCATGTCCAAAAAGAGTATTAGCTGAGCCCAGGGTATGAAGAGTCCAACAGCAGCAGGTAGCAAGTAGAAAAATAGCTCTTTTGTCTGCCTTAGAAAAACCTCTGCATCTTGTTTGTTTCTCAGGAAACCAAAATGAGCTTTCTCTATGTCTTCAACCCCATCTTTGGGAAGAGGAGCCAAGTGGCTCCTCCTGTTTTGAAACGCCCGATTCTTCAGACTTTGCTCCTGCCTATTATGGATCAGGACTATGCCAAAGTCCTGCTTCTGATTGATGATGAGTACAAGGTAAATCCCTTTGCCTGGAGGCAGTTTTCTTCATCTTCTGCTTAATTAATTCTCTCCCTTTTGGACCAAGATTCAAAAATAGTGCCATTGAGCCCCATTTCACCCAAAACTATGAAGTTACTCTGGTCAGACAGACCTCATCCTGGCAAATGTGTCTGAAATAATCTTTTTGGGTGGTTTGGGGTTGGTTTTTTTTTTTGTGTCAGTTGGTTTTTAACCTGCATTTCAATTCTTTTCCAGGTTACAGCTTTCCCAGCAACTAAAAACGTTCTTCGCCAACTAGAAGAAATAGCCCATTCCATCTTTTTTTATCTAGTTGATGCTGAGCAGGGAAAACTCTCTGGATTCAGGCTAAAAAAGGTATGGAAGCCTCATGACAGTTGAAGTGAAACCATTTTCCTAAATTTTCTCTGGATAATGGTTGATCTTTTAATTTGATTTACAGTTTTGCTCAGAATAAAAACCAGCTCAGCCTCAAAAGGAAATTTCTAACATTCCAAAGCAGAGGAAACTCCCAGAGATGTAGACATGGTGTCTTTTGAGGACAAAATAAAACCTACATGTTGGGTTTTTTTTCCTGCAGGACCTGACAACAGAGGAGAGCTGGGATGTGATCATCCCCACTGAAGTCCAGAGGATAGTGACTGTGAAAGGGAAGAGGTCCAATGAGCACGTGCACTCCCAGGGCCGCGTGATGGGTGACCGCAGTGTCCTCTACAAGGTGCTGCCAGAGTTTTGGTTGGCTTTTTGTTGATGCTCCATCTCATGGGAAGATCTCAGCACCATTTCTGGGCACGATGTTGAGATGAATTACCCTGTGGTGCCACTTACTCTAGAGATCAGTGTCCATAACCCCCCTGTGGAAGATGATGTTTCTAGACACGATGTTGAGATGAATCACCCTCTGGTGCCACTTCTTATAAACCTCACTATCCATTAACCTTCAGGGCAAGATGCTGGTTGTGGTTGAAATTTCTTCTGATGAAAGGTTTTCATGCAGAAATTTTAAGTCAGTCAGACATCTGATGGTGGGGAAAGAGCTGCTTCGTTTATTGAGCTGCTTTCTGCTAATAAGATACTGTGTTGGTGACGTGATCAGTCCCAAATGAAAGGCAGATAAATGAGGTGCCCATGGCACCAAAGTGGGGCTCTCAGTTGGGTTTGTTTTCCTTTTTCTCTAGTCCTTGAATCCCAACCTTCTTGCTGTGGTGACAGAGAGCACAGACACGCACCATGAGCGCACGTTCATTGGGATTTACCTGATTGATGGAGTCACAGGCAGGATCATCCACTCCTCAGTGCAGAGGAAAGCAAAGGGACCTGTCCACATTGTCCATTCAGAGAACTGGGTGGTGGTAAGAATCATGGAATGGTTTGGGTTGGGAGAAACCTTAAAGATCATCTAGATCCAACCCCCTGCATGGGCAGGGACACCTCCCACCAGACCAGGTTGCTCCAAGGCCCATCCAACCTGCCCTTCAACACTGCCAGGGATGGGGCAGCCACAGCTTCCCTGGGCAACCTGGGCCAGGGTCTCATCACCCTCACAGCACAGAATTTCCTCTTCATGTCCAACCTCAATCTCCCCTCTTCCACTTTTAATTCAATCCCCCCTTGTCCTCTTCACCACCCTTTTAAAAGTCCCTCCCCAGCCTTCTTACCTTGTACTTCACATTTGAGAGATGGGGCACTTGTCAAACCTGGATGGAGAAGACTTTTTGACCATTCTCTGTGATTTCCTGTTACCTCTGGATGATCAACTCCCTGTTCCTAAAAATCTTCCCTCATTTCAGTACCAGTACTGGAACACGAAGGCCCGGAGGAACGAGTTCACTGTTCTGGAGCTGTATGAGGGCACAGAGCAGTACAATGCCACAGCCTTCAGCTCCTTGGACCGCCCCATCTTACCTCAGGTCCTCCAACAATCCTACATCTTCCCCTCTGCTATCAGTGCCATGGAGGCCACCATCACTGAGCGAGGCATCACCAGCCGCCACTTGCTTGGTAAGTGCCCTCTGCTCCACCTCAGGGTGTCTCTGCTGCCTGCACAAGGCAGGTTTTGCACTGAAAATCAAACAAAATGCAGTTTGCTGCCAAAAAAATTTTGCCCACAGCCTGTCCTGGGCTCCTGGCACCTAAAGGGATAAGCACCAAGAGAGTGTTTATGTTGGTTGTTAGGAAGTGCTGTTAGAAATCATAAGATCATGGAATGGTTTGGGTTGGGAGGGACCTTCTAGATCATCCAGTCCCACCCCCCTGCATGGGCAGGGATACCTCCCACCAGCCCAGGTTGCTCCAAGCCCTATCCAACCTGCCCTTCAACACTGCCAGGGATGGGGCAGCCACAGCTTCCCTGGGCAACCTGGGCCAGGGTCTCATCACCCTCACAGGGAAGAATTTCTTCCTAGTGTACAACCTGAATCTCCCCTCTTGCAGTTTTCATCCATCTCCCTCATCCCATCCCTCCCTGTTGTTGTCCCAAGTCCCTCCCCAGCTTTTCTGGAGCCCTTCAGGCACTGGAAGGTGCTCTAAGGTCTCCCTGGAGCCTTTTCTTCTCCAGGCTGAACACCTCAACTCTCCCAGCCTGTCTCCAGAGTAGAGCTGCTCCAGGCCTTGGATCATCTCTGTGGCCTCCTCTGGACTCTCTCCAGGAACTCCATGTCCTTCTTATGTTGGGGGCTCCAGAATTGGACACAGTTCTCTATGTGGGGTCTGAGGAGAGTGGAGTAGAGGGGCCATTTTTAAGCTGCATTTCTTTTCCTGAGCAGTTGGGCTTCCCTCTGGGGCCATCCTGTCCCTTCCAAAGGCTCTGCTGGATCCTCGTCGCCCGGAGATCCCTACAGAGCAAAGCAGGTGAGGGAAGGACAAGAACCTGTCCCTGGGCAGCTCAAGGGATGGATAGATTTTATATATAACACAGCAGCCTGAAGTAGAACAACTTGTCCTAGCCAGATTGAGGGCAATTCTTGCATGGAATTCTGTGAGGTTGCTTTGTTCTCAGTCTGTGACAATGGAGCAGATTTCTCTGTTATACAGAAGGTCAGAAGTAAAATCAACCTGTTCCTGTAGTCTTAAGAAGCAGAGGTCAGAGAAACTCTGAGGTTTTTAGAATTCCTCTTCTTTTTCAAACTTCACAAGCCTAAAAGGAGGCTGCTGTGGTGTAGTCTGACCCAGCTGCCTTGTCTGATTCTCATCCTGCAGCAAAAATGAAGCTGCACTAGGAAAAGCTGCTAAATTTGCTGTTTCACGTCAGCCTGTGATCATCAGGGTACAGAAGCCAGATGACGTCCTTTGTGTGCTGGTTTATTGGGTTTTGATTTCTCCTTGAATGTCTTTCAGAGAGGAGAACCTGATCCCATACTCCCCTGATGTCCAGATCCACGCTGAGAGGTTTATCAACTACAATCAAACCATATCCCGCATGAGAGGGATCTACACAGCCCCCTCAGGCCTGGAGTCCACTTGTTTGGTGAGTGCAGGGTGAGGGTTCAGTGGACACCTCTGGAGATCGTGGGCAGAGCAGGGTGGCACCCTTACCTGTGGCAGGAAGGTCTGTGACTTGTTCAGCCTGGAGAAGAGAAGGCTCCAGTGAGACCTTAGAGCACCTTCCAGTGCCTGAAGGGGCTCCAGAAAAGCTGGGGAGGGACTTGGGACAAGGGCAGGGAGGGATGGGATGAGGGGTTAAAGGCTTTTGATCTGGAAGGTAGGACATGAGGAGGAAATTCTTTGCTGTGAGGGTGGTGAGAGCCTGGCCCAGGTTGCCCAGGGAAGCTGTGGCTGCCCCATCCCTGGCAGTGTTGAAGGGCAGGTTGGATGGGGCTTGGGGCAGCCTGGACTGGTAGGAGGTGTCCCTGCTCATGCAGGGGGTTGGATTTAGATCATCTTTAAGGTCCCCTCCAACCCACACTACTCCAGGATGATGATCTGGCTTCTCACCATTAAAACATTTCCTCTGTTACTCAGAACTCTAGACCTGTGACAATTTTTTTTTGATACATCTGGTTTCCTGCTGCAAGATGCATTACCAGCTCCTGGTCTCCTCTCCTTAGGTTGTTGCATATGGCCTGGACATCTACCAGACCCGAGTCTACCCATCCAAGCAGTTTGATGTCCTGAAGGATGACTATGACTACGTGCTGATAAGCAGTGTGCTCTTTGGGCTGGTTTTTGCTACCATGATCACCAAGAGACTGGCTCAGGTGAAGCTGC